AATATTTTTTAATTTACTGAGGCTCTTTTTGTGGACTTGTATATGATCTATTCTTGAAAATGTTCCATGTGCACTTGAGAAGAATGTGTGTTCTGTTGCTTTTGGGTGTAGAGTTCTGTAGACGTCTGGTAGGTCCATCTGTTTTATTGTGTTGTTCAGTGCATCTGTCTCCTTACTTATCTTCTGTCTGGTTGATCTGTCCTTCAGAGTGAGTGGAGTGTTGAAGTCTCCTAGAATGAATGCATTACATTCTATTTCCCCTTTTAATTCTGTTAGTATTTGTTTCACATATGTGGGTGCTCCTGTGTTGGGAGCATAGATATTTATAATAGTTTTATCTTCTTGTTGGATTGACCCCTTTATCATTATGTAATGTCCTTCTTTGTCTCTTTTACTTTCTGTGTTTTGAAGTCTATTTTGTCTGATACAAGTACTGTAACTCCTGCTTTTTTCTCTCTGTTAGTTGCATGAAATATCTTTTTCCATCCCTTCACTTTTAGTCTGTGTATGTCTTTTCGTTTAAAGTGAGTCTCTTGCAGGCAGCATATAGATGGGTCTTGTTTTTTTATGCATTCAGTGACTCTATGTCTTTTGATTGGTGCATTCAGTCCATTTACATGTAAATTATGTTTTAACTTTTAAAAAATGTAGTTAGCCAAGGCACAAATTCATTACTGAATTTGACTAGTGTTAGTCACATATTCTTCTATTATTGTTTTATTGAGGTACATACAATGAACTGCACAAATCTATAGCTTAGTGAGTTTTGATACATGTATACACTAATGTAACCATTGCCCAGATCAAGATCTCAAATATTCTCATGTTCTCTATGTTTAGTCACAGTTACATAATCAAATTGTGTGGATCTTGCCCTCAGGGAATTTGCAATCTAACATACATTCTTGTCGGCTTTCTTTAAAATTTTGTTATTAAATCCTACTTTCATCATACTTCAAATATAAATTAGTTTTTCTTACTGAGTTAAAACAAAAACAGTGCTTATGATTATTTTTTTAGATTTTAGCACAATGCCCAAAGCAAGCTATGTTAAAATGGTTAGATACCATCCTGTTTACATCCAGATAATTCTTTTCTATTTGTTTTGTGGATTATGTTCATACATAAACTGCTTACTCTGGTATATGTGTATAGTAAAGTTCTATGCCACTATTAAATAAGATTATATAGATCTTTATTGAAATGAAAGAGTCACAACATATTAGATAAACAAAGCACTTACGTAATATATTCCATGTGTTATGGTCTCATTTTTTTATTTTTAAAGTTTTTATATTGAAGTACATAAAATGCACAAACCTTAGTGTAGAACTTGATGGATTTTTGATATGTGTATACACTCATGTAGTCATCACCCATTACTCTCCCTTTCTGTTCACTCTAGTCCATCATTTTTGAGTATTTGTCAGACCTGCCTAATTTTTAGTGTCTGTCCTCCATTCCTTACCTTAAAAGCCAGGTAGTCAGTTGCTCAGTTGTCCAGTATTTACTATGTGTCATATGTGCTGTTACTGTTGTAGGTGCTGTAAGGAAGTCATGCACGTAATTTATATAGCTAGGGCATCAAACTAACATACATTACACACCTGTGAGACAATGTAGTGAACTACTGGCTGGAAACCTAACAGGAGTTTTGTGAAAAAGGAAATGGTGAACAGTGGGCTTCAAACAGAATCAAATTCATCTTCTCTCTTATAGGCAGAGTAAGTCAGGAAATTATGTGGTTCTTTATTGGTATAAGTTGGTATAATATCTTTGATATTTTAAAATTTTAATATTTTGAACAAGAATATAAATTGGCATACCGTATGTGGTATTTTTAACATTCATATTTCAAAAAGTATGCAACATTGCTATAAAACACTTAACTGTGAAACGGTAGATTTTATTGGTCTCTCCATTCTACCAACTTTTCATGATCTTACATACCACCAGGTTCTCACTTCCCCCCTTACCCATCTTAAATTCCTTTGTTGATTATCTAAACCACTCCCTTGTCTTGTATCCTCACTTGTGTTTCATTTCCTTGCTTTGTCAAACTTACTTGGTTAAATTACAGCTTTGCTTAAATCCAGTCCTCTGTGCTCCCTACCTGCACCCATTCAGCTGAATGTATCTGGGGGAAAGTATACAAGCATAATCCCTGGTATTACTTTGAATTCTTGGGCACTAAATTAATGCTTCTCAGCTGTCATGTTAGAATCTCTGAGTCTTACATTCTCTGGGCAGGCTGTCTGCTCTCTTCTGTAAGCCCTAATGCATCCTCTTCCAACCTTATTCTTCAGGATGGTTTTACATCCTCATTCATTGGAAAAAATGGAAGCATTGAGAAAATTATTTCTACCAGCTCCTACTTGTATCTATACACCTAACTGCATTTGGGCCTTTTTATGTTCACTACAACCATCACTAAATTGCCTGTCCTAAGTAGAACCAGCCCTCTACTTGTCCAGTAAATCCCAACCTTTCCTGACCATGTAAGGAAGTTGTTCCAGAAATTTTCTCCTTCCTGTATCAGCAGAATTACCTTCTTATTGTATTATTACTCTGAGAAGTCATTCATTTGGAAATACTATTGCTGCTATGTTTTAGGCACAAGTTTAGGTGCTAACAATGTATGTGAAACTTACATTCTTGTTGAGAAGACAGACAATAAACAAGAAAGATACTAAGTTAATCATCTCATGTGTTCTAAGATAATAACATGCTGCGGAAAATAAAAAGTAGAGCTGCCAGTTGGTGTTCGGGAGTCCTGAGTAAGGGGTACAGATTTCAGTAAGTAGCATGATCAAGGTAGGCTTCAGTGTGAAGGTTAGATGTGATCTAAGACTTGAGGGAGGTGAGGGAATTAGCTATGGCGATGTGTAATGGGAAAGAATGCCAGGCAGAGAGCACAGCTAGACCAAAAGGCCTGAAGGAGAGAGAGTGTGGTGCCATGCTGAGAAAATGCAGGGAAGCCATGGTGGCTGGCAGAGTGACCTGAAGGGAGACCCTTAGGAAAGGAGAGGGAGGTCAGAAATTTAGTGGGGTTGGTGGGAAGCCCAGATTATGCAGGACCTTTGTTGATCACTTAAAGACCTTTGTCTTCTAAGTGATTCAGAAATTACAGAATTTCTTTGCAGTCATTCATTGTAAGATTTTTGTCTGCATGTGTTGAGAACAGACTGCAGTGAGGGGCAGGGGAGAGCTGTTCTAAGGTTGTTGGAGTGTTCATGTGAGTGGTAATGGTGGCTTGTTCCAAGGTAGTGGAAGAGGTGAGAAGCGATCCTGGATGTATTTTGAAAGCAGAGCCAACAGAATTTCCAAGATGAGATGTGAAAAATGAGAGGACTTAGGATGATTGCAAGGTTTTTGACTTGGCAGGGCAGCGGGAGTGAGAGAAATTAGGAGTTCAGTTCTGGACAAGTTGTGATGATTTTTAGAATTCTCTATCTTTGAGTAACTTGTCTACACATCTCTGAGTAGGAAAAGGTCTGGTTTTACATACATGGGGAGTTTTAGGCATTGGATGGCGAGAGTAAGAAGTAGGATTGTGTTAGTGGAATAGCTAGGTGATGTCAAATACTACTGATATCACAAAGAAGGTCACCCCATGTTTTTAGTCTAGATGACAGAAAAAAGAAGAAAAGCCAGGAGGAACCAATTTGGGGGGAGAGCTAGTGGGTTTGGATTTAGGTGTGGTAGCAGTGATTCAACCATGTAAAAATATATCCACTGTATAGTTAGATATCTGTATCATAAATTAGAGGTCCAAGATGGAAAGAAGTTTGGATTTTGATGTTGTTAAGCTGAGAGATGATGGCTGTAACCATGAAAGCTCTTTAAAAAGATAAAAAAAAGTAAGTGGAGACCATTGGGTGAATAATCTTAACGTAAAGAGACAATGAAGAATTAGTCCAGGTGACTAATGACTTGGTCCTATAAAGACACAGAGATGGTAGTTGATAGTTGCTACTGATGGAGATAGGACAAAATAGATAAGCACTGAGAAAACCCTGTTGAATTAGTTTAGTAGGGGAAAATTAGTTTCTTTGAAAAGAGCAGTGTCTATAGACAACCCTAACCTTCTTGTTGTCCAACACCACGTATCCTTTAAAGTCCAGCTCAGGTGTACACTTAATGATAATAGCTAAAAGATATTTTAAACTTAACTTTGTATCGTGCTGAATATTACATAGATTTATCATTGATTGCTTAATGATAATTGGTACTCTTTTTATGGTTTTAAGATGTAGGTACTCTGTTGTTTCCCATTTAATGCATGAAGACCAGAGGGATGAACTAACATGAAGTTAATGGTAGGAAAAAAACTGAATCCAGGCACACTGGTGTTACAATGCATACTTTTAGCCATTACACTGTGCTCATTTTCTTTGAAGTCTTCCTGGATATTTCCTGACAGAATTTATCTTTTTGCTGACTGGCTGTAGAGGCTGTGATTACCAAGAATTTTAGGCAGTATATACTAAAAATATCTAAGGGATAAATATACCTTCTTAAAGTGATTAATAGTAATGTTAAGTGAAATGAAGGATACAATAATAGAATGTAGAAGGGGGATGGTCAGGAGAGGACCAGGTTGTTACAAAAAGGCTTTGTGGAAGGAGTAGGATTTGATCTGACCTTAAAGGACAGATACTCTTTTGCCTGTTTGTGATTGCATTATGGGTGAGGGTAAGATAATTGGAAAGCTTTCCAGATAGTAAGAACAGCTGGAATAAAGGTATAGATACAGGAAAGAACTAGATATATTTGGGGAAAGGTAAGTAGTCCAGTGTGGCTAGTTAGTAGAGCAGGTGGCCAGAATGGGCAATGGGTCAGAAGGTACTCTGAGGTTAGGCCATGACCAGCTTGAGTGCAGACCCACAGAAAGTTGGGAGATTGCAGGGGCTTTGTTTGAATACAGCTGTGCTATTCTCAACTACTTACTTCTTGGTTTAAATATATACTCAAAGAGACATATTTTATTTTATTTCTAGAATGCCAGTTAATGAAAACAGAACGACCAAAGCCAAACACATTTATTATCAGATGTCTCCAGTGGACCACTGTTATAGAAAGAACATTTCATGTAGACACTCCAGAAGAAAGGTAAGAACCTCATTTTTTCTATTTTGTGAAAAAGCAACAATCAACCTAAAGATATGGGTGTATCTGACTTCACCATTTGTAAGTATATGTAAGTACATTTGTAAAATGCTCTACAAATAGCCCCTTAATTATTCTGTTTCTGGTATAACAGATGAATAACAGAAGCTTTAGAATATTAAATCAAAACCTCTAGAAGTGCTAAAAGGTAAACTTCTTAAAAGAAAACAGAACATTTGAAAGTTAAAATATGAAGAAAACATTTTTGTAACTTTTTTAAAAAAACAGAATTAATTGTGTGTATATTTGAAATTCTGAGGCTAGAGATAAAAGAAAGATTACAAGTAGCAGGCCATGATGTAAGTGGCTTCCAGGAGTTTTATGTTGAGAAGGATTCTGTGACTGGGTCTATGCTCAGTGAGATAAACTGTATCAGGGTTGATTGGCATTGACTGTCATCATTACTAAAGGGATGGGGAGTGGCACCACATTGGTAATAAGCTCACCAACTTCATCAAGGACACATTTTCATCCTCTTGGTCAACTATCAATTTGTGCTACCACCGTCCCACCTGTCTTAATACCATTTTATCTGGTGGCTCTGATCCTGAGTTAGGTTCAAAAACCATAATTACAAAATCATTTCCCTGCACATTTGTTGCCATATTTTGATCCAGATCAACTTTGTGAAGTTAAATGTTACTAGCATTGTTTTGCAAATGAATAAATAAGATGAGACTTCTGTAAGATTTAAAAGGAAACAAAAATCTAGTAAATAGTAACATTCATTTTTTTGATCAATAGACAGTAAATGGTAATGTATGGCGCCTTTAGGAAATAGAGCAAAGAAAGAAAAACAGAGAGAACTAGAAATTATTCTCGGTTCTGGTTTTATAACCAGAGTTAAGGACTGACAGTATTTTCTTGTATACACACCAATCTTATTCTGTGCAGCTGTATTTAGGTCTTGAGTACAATTTGGATGTCTTTCCTCCCTCTCTACCACCATCTTCCCTTGGGTATTTATATATGCCGAGTCCTCATTTTACTTCTATCTCCATTCATAATCGTGGTTGGGCTAATTAATTCCTATTAAGATCTGAGTTTAAATTGTCACATTTCCTACAAAACCTTCCCTGACTCTTATAGACAGGTAGGCCTCCCTTCTATATACTTACTATCTCCTTGTCCCTTTTATATCAAGTATATCACCACTGTAATTTTTATATGCCTTTCTCAGCAGACTAGAAAATTCTTGGTCATCAAGAATCATATCTCCCTTGTTCATTATTTTATCTTTAGCACATTGTCCAAGGGCTGACATGGTATTTGTTGATGAGCTGAGTGAATGGAACTTTCCCCATGCCAGAATATATTCTTTGAAAATACTATTCTTGCTGGATTTGTAACATCCTATTGAAGCATGATTCATTTTACCATTGAGGTTTGCAAAAGCATGACTTAAACCATATCTTAAGGCTTTAGGTTAGTTTTCTGTTCCTGTAATAATATCACACTATTTTCTGACAGTTTTCATTTGCCTTTATGACTAGAAGAAAGCAGTCTTAATAAAAATGGATAACAGCACATTTTTATTTACCATTAGAGTGTATTTTTTCTATATACACCTAGAATCTTGTGTTTAGAGCTCTTACATAACTTTCATGTTAAGATTTAGAAAGATATTGTGAAAGCTAGAGAAACTTAATTTTTTTTCTATATTCTGCCTGCTGGTCTAAAATCCTTACCTGATGTAAACTAAATGTATATTTCTGTCTTAAGAAATCTTGTAGTTATTTCAGTGCATGATGCAAGTTTGGAGTCGATCTTTTTTCCAAAATATGAGACCATTGTCACAACCTCATTTATTGAGTAATTCATTCTTTTCTCACTGATTATGGATGGCACATATACATAAATATTTGTATTTTTAGTTCTTTAAATTTTTTCCTGTTGATTTTTCTGTCATTCTAGTACTAGGATCATGTGATTTTAATTAGAGAGCCTTATAAGACTTTTAATTTTAATAAAACAATTACTACTATTATTTTGAAATGTTCTTAGCTTTTCTAGTATATTCATTTTTACTTGTTATATATATAACATGAAATCTACCCTCATAACACATTTTAAAGTGTACAGTATTGCTAACTATATACACATCACTGCATAGCAGATGTCTAGAATTTCTTACCTTGCATGACTGAAACTCTGGGCCCTTGAACAGTAACTCCCCATTTCCCTCTCTCCTAGCCTCTGTCAGTTACCATTCTGCTTTCTCCTTCTATGAGTTTGTCTACTTTAGATATCTCACACAAGAGGAAACACACAGTGTTTGTCTTTCTATGACTGGTTTATTTCACTTAATGTCCTCAAGGTTCATCCATGTCATAGCATGGGTTAGGAGTTCCTTCTTTTTTAAGGCTGAATAAATATTCCATTGTATTTTTATACCTTTTTTCTTAATCCATTCATCTGTCAGTAGATGTTTTAGCTGTTTCTGCCTCATGGCTGTTTTGAATGATGTTGCAGTGAACATGAAAGTACAGATACCTCTTGGAGACCCTGAGCTCACTTCTTACTAATAAATAGCCAGAAGTAGGACTGCTGGATCATATAATAGTTCTATTTGTTTGAAGAACCTCTGTAGTGTTTCCATAGTGACTATAACATTTTACATTCCCACCAGCAGTGCACAAGGATTCCAGCTTCTTCTTGTTCTTGCCAACAGTTGGTGCTTCCTCCCTGTCTGCTTCCCTCTTCTCCTCCCTTCTTTCCTTCCTTCCTTTCATAATGACCATAAAAATCTAGTAAATAGTAACATTCATTTTTTTGATCAATAGACAGTAAATGGTAATGTATGGCGCCTTTAGGAAATAGAGCAAAGAAAGAAAAACAGAGAGAACTAGAAATTATTCTCGGTTCTGGTTTTATAACCAGAGTTAAGGACTAACAGTATTTTCTTGTATACACACCAATCTTATTCTGTGCAGCTGTATTTAGGTCTTGAGTACAATTTGGATGTCTTTCCTCCCTCTCTACCACCATCTTCCCTTGGGTATTTATATATGCCGAGTCCTCATTTTACTTCTATCTCCATTCATAATCGTGGTTGGGCTAATTAATTCCTATTAAGATCTGAGTTTAAATTGTCACATTTCCTACAAAACCTTCCCTGACTCTTATAGACAGGTAGGCCTCCCTTCTATATACTTACTATCTCCTTGTCCCTTTTATATCAAGTATATCACCACTGTAATTTTTATATGCCTTTCTCAGCAGACTAGAAAATTCTTGGTCATCAAGAATCATATCTCCCTTGTTCATTATTTTATCTTTAGCACATTGTCCAAGGGCTGACATGGTATTTGTTGATGAGCTGAGTGAATGGAACTTTCCCCATGCCAGAATATATTCTTTGAAAATACTATTCTTGCTGGATTTGTAACATCCTATTGAAGCATGATTCATTTTACCATTGAGGTTTGCAAAAGCATGACTTAAACCATATCTTAAGGCTTTAGGTTAGTTTTCTGTTCCTGTAATAATATCACACTATTTTCTGACAGTTTTCATTTGCCTTTATGACTAGAAGAAAGCAGTCTTAATAAAAATGGATAACAGCACATTTTTATTTACCATTAGAGTGTATTTTTTCTATATACACCTAGAATCTTGTGTTTAGAGCTCTTACATAACTTTCATGTTAAGATTTAGAAAGATATTGTGAAAGCTAGAGAAACTTAATTTTTTTTCTATATTCTGCCTGCTGGTCTAAAATCCTTACCTGATGTAAACTAAATGTATATTTCTGTCTTAAGAAATCTTGTAGTTATTTCAGTGCATGATGCAAGTTTGGAGTCGATCTTTTTTCCAAAATATGAGACCATTGTCACAACCTCATTTATTGAGTAATTCATTCTTTTCTCACTGATTATGGATGGCACATATACATAAATATTTGTATTTTTAGTTCTTTAAATTTTTTCCTGTTGATTTTTCTGTCATTCTAGTACTAGGATCATGTGATTTTAATTAGAGAGCCTTATAAGACTTTTAATTTTAATAAAACAATTACTACTATTATTTTGAAATGTTCTTAGCTTTTCTAGTATATTCATTTTTACTTGTTATATATATAACATGAAATCTACCCTCATAACACATTTTAAAGTGTACAGTATTGCTAACTATATACACATCACTGCATAGCAGATGTCTAGAATTTCTTACCTTGCATGACTGAAACTCTGGGCCCTTGAACAGTAACTCCCCATTTCCCTCTCTCCTAGCCTCTGTCAGTTACCATTCTGCTTTCTCCTTCTATGAGTTTGTCTACTTTAGATATCTCACACAAGAGGAAACACACAGTGTTTGTCTTTCTATGACTGGTTTATTTCACTTAATGTCCTCAAGGTTCATCCATGTCATAGCATGGGTTAGGAGTTCCTTCTTTTTTAAGGCTGAATAAATATTCCATTGTATTTTTATACCTTTTTTCTTAATCCATTCATCTGTCAGTAGATGTTTTAGCTGTTTCTGCCTCATGGCTGTTTTGAATGATGTTGCAGTGAACATGAAAGTACAGATACCTCTTGGAGACCCTGAGCTCACTTCTTACTAATAAATAGCCAGAAGTAGGACTGCTGGATCATATAATAGTTCTATTTGTTTGAAGAACCTCTGTAGTGTTTCCATAGTGACTATAACATTTTACATTCCCACCAGCAGTGCACAAGGATTCCAGCTTCTTCTTGTTCTTGCCAACAGTTGGTGCTTCCTCCCTGTCTGCTTCCCTCTTCTCCTCCCTTCTTTCCTTCCTTCCTTTCATAATGACCATCTGAACAGGTGTGAGGTGATATCTCATGTGGTTGTTTGATTAATTCCCCTGATGATTAGTGATGCTGAGCATCTATTCATGTTCCTGTTGATTGTTTGTATGTCTTCTTTGGAAAAATTACTGTTCATGTCTTCTTGCCATTTTTGAATGGTTTATTTATTTG